AATTTGGTCTAAATGTTCACCAAGAGATGATTTCTACCAGGATGGTTTGCGCATGTAGTGGAACAAACATCCAAATTCAACAGATGCAATGAGTCGGTCCTCTTAATTAGTGAATAACCGGCCATCCATCCTTCTTCATAAATAAAGCAAGAGAACGCAAACGTGAGACGGGAGGGTCTGATTCCAGGAAAGACCTGTACAAGCTGTGGGAGGGGTTCGCAGGCTAGACGGGGTCATCTTTTCAAGGCCTTGCGTTTTTATTGACTCCTAGCAAACCAAATAACCAGATTGTGCGATCCGTTATAGACACAGGGGCATTGTGGGGTGAGTGAGGATTGGACACGGACACGCTGGCATTCCACGGCCCTATTGTGACTCGACTGAATGAGGACAAAGAGACACCCCACTGATCAGAATCTGACGGGACGCCCCGAGAGACACAGGGCCACAACTGACCCTCTTTTCCAGGTGAAAAGGGGATGAAAGAGTGAGAAAGAGAGGGACAAAAATAAGAATCTTCCATCTTTATTTGACCCTCCAAACTCTAGCACTCTATTCTAATTCTGTTCTAAAAAAACGCTTGTTTTCTTTAAAAAAACTAACACTAGCTTTTCTAATATTTTTGTATTCTATCTGGAAAAGGGGATGAAAGAGTGAGAAAGAGAGGGACAAAAATAAGAAAGACAGCAAGAGAGAGGAAAAAAAGGGTTGAGGGGAAAAAAGGAGAAGGGGAGTGACGAACGTCTGCAGTGTGACGGAGGGACAAAGACTCCAGAAGAGCCGTGACGGGAAAAATATATACACGCATGTGTGTTTATATATTATATACATAATAAATATACACAGTACACACACATATATTATGTAAACATAAACTTAAAAGCATCTGCTAAATGACTAAATGTAAATGTAATGTAAACAAAAACTTTTATTTTGGAAGTGATTAATCGCGATTAATCTTTTGACAGCACTAATATATTTATTTATTTATATATGTGTGTGTGTGCACGCGTGTGTATAAGACACCTCAGTGTTTGAGTGAACATTGGCAAAATTATACACAAAGAATCCTTTTTTCCACTCAAAAATGGAGGTCTGTGCTAACTGAATAAAAACAATTTGGGGGAAAAATAGTGAAAAATCGTTTTTTTCATTACTGGTTTTGTGTATAATGCTTTGGCAATATGTATGTAAACACAATCATTCCAGTAAAGTACTTTAAATTGAAACTGAATTGAATTGCAGACAAAAAAAAATAAAAGATCTGACAATGGGTTTAAAAACGGCATATATTTAAAGTATGATGGAGATTTGATGTTTTGGAATATGAAAATAATGAATTGTTATATTTGATTTGATATTATATTGAAAGATCAGAGTAGCACATCTGATGAGTCACTGTTAAACAGAGCATTTGTCATTTGTGTCATGGTTTCAGAGTTGCTGGTTTTCAAGTTTCAATTATTTATTATTCTGTTCATGATGGAAGGATGTGGTCATAGTCAAAAAAAGAGAACTGAATTAGTGTTATAAATGTACTATTTTTTGTGACAAAAAAGATTAAACAGACTCCAGCAAATCACTTCATCAAAGCTGAGGTACCACATAAAGAAAGAGTGAGAACAACATAAGGAAAGGAGGAGACAAAAGAAAGCGAGGGAGAGGGAGAGAGAGAAAGAGAGAGAGAAAGTCTTGGTGTCTCTGGGTGACTGACATTCTTTGCATTTTATGACCTCATCAAAGAGTCCGTAGTGCTACGAACCGTGACAAACTCCATTATTTAATTTGGATTGATTTTCTCAGGACACACTCAAAAAACTCAATGAAAAAGACAAGTGTGATTTATTAATTTATGTGCCTTTGTAATAAAAAAATTATCATTGATGATTTTTTCAAAAGACGTCTCTTCTGTTCATCAAAGCTGTATTTATTTGTTAAAAATACTGTTCTATGGCAATATTTTTCAAAATGTAATTTATTCTTGTGATGAAAAGCAGAACTTTCATCAGTCATTATTGTCACATGACCTAAAAAAAATGGTAAACGTTACTAACAAAGCTTATGATATGCTGATGTGAAAAAGGAATTTGAAATGATGATTGCTTGTGACAAACTGAAGTGTACCACGTGACTATATTGGCTTATGCACAAACTAAACAAATTTCCATGGCCAACAGGCAGAATAAAAATGGAAATTTGCACATCAGCCATCATAAAACTCTGCATAGCCACTAGGGGGCGATGTATAAATACTTGAAGATATCAAAGTTTATGAAGTATAATAAAGTAAGACTGAAAATTTCACTGCACTGTCCAACGAGAATAAAGATGGACAACTTTTCACTGCTCAGAATTCAGGAACCTTATGAGAAGTTTAGGTTTACTTACAGCTTCTTGATGCTATCTATGTTTGCAAGAAAACCCCACAAAGACTCTTTATCATGCTGAATGTGTTCATTAAACAAAAGAGACTGGTGTTATTCACTCTTAAAGCCGACAACACAGATGACTAACACTGAGCTGTCCAGCAGACACACTCTCAGGAGTTTTTATTTCGTCCTTAAAGGAAACCACTCAAGCCTTTGATCCAGTGAATAGACTTTCCCTCATTTGGGAATCTGAATACGAACAAGAGCCCCAAAATGTAGCGTTTAGCAAGCAGGATTAGAATAGAGAGTGATTCAGCCGTGAAAATCCCCCGTTTTAATGGCTGTTGGGAGAAGTTGCACTTTATAGCTGATTTGAGAGCATCTGAGAATCTGTGTGACCAAGTTAAAAGTTTGAATTTGGAAAACATCAGCTGATCTCAGATCAGGACCCTGATGGAAGCCAGAAAGTGATCATTCATATGAAGTGAGTTTGAAAGAGAAAGGCTGTCCACCCACACTATTTACGAACCACTGCCACAGTCAGCCATTGTTCAGAGAAACACGTTAACAAGAAAGGATGATGGAGAGGAAGGATCACAGAGAATCTTGAAAGGAAAAATATATTACTGCTGATAAAGCCACTTCACTACCATACCATACCATATATATGTATGTGTGTGTGTATAAACTTATATATGTACACAAAACAAAACATTGGGCAAACAACAAAAAATGAAGATATAGGAAAAAGATGGAAATGGACTGAAATAATTTAGACACTTTACAAAACTTCTAGGCAAACATGCAAGAAATAAACAAGTAGAGAGATACCAATGCATAATGTACCCTATAGAGCAATTATTTCATTGGTTTTAGATGCAACTTAAAAAGCGGGGCCAGAAGTAGTGTTTTATTGCAAGCTGTATTCGTCATTAACATAATCTAGTCTCCAAATATAGGCTTAACCTGTGTCTTGTAGTGTTTTAGGATGATGCTATCACTCTTCAGTGTGAAAAGGTGTTTCCAAAAAGGAAAACATCAAGAAAAAGAAATTAATAAAATGTGTTTTGCTCAGAATAATACATAAAAACACAAAAAAATTTATATTAATATGTTTTTGTTTCAAATAAGCTAACTACATGTCCTATTTTTGAGAGGGAGTTATATCAGTGAAGTTCTCCGTAAACCTTAGCTGTGTATGACTCAACACAGCTAAACACTGTATGATGCCAGGAAATGGCTGTTATTCATCAAAGTCTTCATTGTGTTAATAATAGTATGAAAGTGAACAATGTACATTTCTGCAGTGTAAGTGAGTGAAAATGACAGGAATAATTCAGCCAGCAATCTGTCACTATATAAATTTCAAGGTACTGTCTGACTTGCCTTTCCTGTAGGATATGTCTTTCCCTCAAAGCTGGTTGCCATTTTTTCAGGTGTGGAATATAGGCCAGACCCATTACTAGAAACCATAAAACTCTGGTCTCCTCCAAAATAAAGGAGCACAACAAAAGAGTGACTGAAGCAGCCATCTGGAAGAGATAAACAAACAAGGCACACACAGCATTAACCTTGCAAATTTTCATATTATGGATGTGGTGAGTCACATCAGAAAAATGCAATGATTAATTACACACACACAAAACCAAAAAAAACCAAAAACAACAATCTATATGTACATGGCAAATTAGTGCCTTGACTATCTACAAATCCTAATTGAACATAGTGACACCTGCTGGTCATTCTAACGCATTTTTATTTACTTCCACTTTTATATGAAACACAAAAGGTTTGTTTATTTTCGACATTTTCTGTGACTTGCATCAGTCTTGGCCCTCTGCAGCTGTACTGGGTGCTGGACGGAAAAATGTGATTCAGCAAAGCTCATGTACTCACAACTGTAATGATATTCAAAATAAACAGGACGACTGCGAGTGTGATATTCCTTATTATGCAACAGTTAAAATAGAACTTTAATTTTAAACACAATATTTACAGTTTATCCATTTAATTTCGCCAATGAAGCCAAGACAAAGCGATTTTCTCCGTGGCCTTCTTTTCTGAACGCACTGCGCACGCGCTGAAATTTTGTTCACACCTATTATGGCTTTAGGACTCCATGATAGTCGGACTCCATTTGTTTTGATTGACAAAAAATCAGCGCACACAGTAGCATTCCTGATTAAAACGTTTTTAATAGAATCTGTTGAGTGGATGACTCACTCAGTAAAACCTTTTACTTAAGTAAAAATTCTGAACTGAAAAGATTGGAACTCTATGCTACAAAAAGCTACATAATTTCTGGAAATAGACATTTTTCTGAAGTGAAATGGATAAAAGATGTTGTGCTGATGGTCTCAAGGTTGTACTTGTACAGATTGCTACCCTTTTACTGGTCATTTAACAATAAAAATGTTTGACATTATGGAAGAGCAAGATACAAAAAGCATTGTTTGAGGGAAAAAAAGGTAAATTATCAACACAGAGAACAACTTCAAACATTAAAACAAGTGAACTGATGTTTTGGAGACAAGGAGGTTTTATTTCTAATATTTTTTATTTTTTTCTTGTAATCTCGTTAACTCAAAATCAGAGAAGACAAAATCAAAACTGAGTGGCCAACCAAGCTAATGTAGTTTATGGACACGTGTTTAAATGCTGTGCATATACACAGAAAATCATTTCACTCCAGTACCCCTGTGTCTTGATTTTCCTGTGATAATGAGGCACGCAATGTGTTGAGGCATGAACAGAAACAACAAGAAAAAAAAATGACCAAACAAAAAGTTAAATAGACATTCCCCCCACTGGTTATACACAAGAATTCGCAAGCAGTAATTTTACAGTATCAACATGGTGGAAAGAAATTTCACACAGCCTCACTCTTAAATCAACTCATAACGAAGTCTTTCCATTTTTAATCTCTAGTTTCTTTTTTGATGCATTTAAGGAAAAAAATGCTATTTACAAAAATCATACTTCTGACACCATGAAGATTCAATAACTGGAGCTAGTTTTCTTTGTAATTTATGCATTACCCTTTCATTTCAATGTTAGCAAAAGAAAAAAGTAAGTAATATTTACAAGGGAAAACTCCAAATCTTAATTACTCATCGCAGTGGACAATGTGCGTGTTTGCTTTAATCCGTTCCAACTAAAGAAGCAGATGTGTCGATTTCTACAAATGGTTTAATATGCACTACTAATGCACACACGCAGCAAAGTAAATGGAATTTGTTGATTCAGAGTTGTTGGTGTAAAGCGAAATCGCCGTGGCAACAGATAAAGTTAAACAGCGCTCAGGTCCCTCCCTACGGGACCTCACATTGGGCGGAGAAGGGTTCAATCTCATGAGACTGCTTTCATTTAATCCACTTTGACCACACTGTAGATCTTGGTGACAAACCAAAAGCAGGCAAAGAATCCAATTGTGCCTGGAGGCAAAAATACACAAGAGATCCAGATTATTAAAACACTACACAATATGAATATGAAATGAAAGCATTACTGAAATGCATTAATGAATATGAAACCTGAAGCATTACTGTTTTCCTGAAGTCAAAACAGCACATAAAGACCGTCTACAAACATCATATGTTTGGAATCAAAACTTCCCACAATTTTACCCACCATTATATCCATCTCAATAATAACTATTGTTTTTATTGAAGAACATACAGGTCTTGAACTTTCTGGAATCATTGATGTTTAATAAATTCTGGTTAATTCATTTAAATGTATTGATACTTCCACTTTCCGTTAAAAAAAAGTCTGAAAATAAGCAATGTTTTCATAATTACAACTGAAATACAGGGAAAAGAAATCTATGGAAATACAAAAAATACTTAGAAGTGGATGATATGACCAAAATCTTGTACCACAAGATTTTCTATTATGGCAATGACATATATCATGATCTATTAATATAATCTGTAAAGCTATTTTGAAGTTTTGTCTATTGAAAGTGCTGTGCAATTTTCCATGGAAACTGTGTGACAAAATTCTATGATTCCAGTTTACAAAAAAATTATGTGCCAGAATCCAGTCATTCTAATAGGAATTTGTGTGATTGGGATTTTCACTCATTTTCAAGTCTGTCACATGAATTGGCAGCGTTGACCAACAGAAAGCGGCTTGGTTTGAAAGTGACGTCTGTGTGAGCTGTGCTTCTAACAATGGACCTCTTCTGCCCACTAAATTTTGCTGCAGTTTCGCTAGTGACTGCACCTTAACTCTACACACATACAGACCTGTGAAGAGGAAGAAGATGAGTGCCATGATCATGGTGTAGCCGAAGTAAAGAATGGTGCTGGCGAGTCCACTGATCTGCAGCTTAGAGAAGAAGTAATGGATGGCATAGACCAGGAAATAAACAGCTGTGAATCCGCTGGTGAGGAAGGAGCGCCACTGCCAGTGATAGTCCTGAGAGACGGAATATACACAAAACAAATGAAAAAAAAAAAAGACGACGATTCTCCAAAATATGCATACTGTCACACGTGTGCATATGTAATATTGATTTTGCTGTGTGTACTCTTACCTCAGCACACAGGTGGAAATAGCAGAGGAGGATGGTGGCCTCAGAGCAGGTGATGAGCAGGATGATGAAGACCAGGAAGAGGAAGCCAAACATATAGTACATCTGATGAGACCTGCAATATCAATGGTTTACACAATATTTCAATAAAACTGTAAGTGCTTTTAAAGAGGTTTGATTTCATTTGGGTTCGAACCCTAAACCTGAACTTTATAATTTGCTTTTGTAATCATTGGAATCATAGCAACCGTTAATCATCAGCACTAACCAAATGCTGTTGAGGATGAAGAACAGCTGGATGAAGATGCAGCCGAACGGCAGGATTCCACCCATGACGATGCCAGGAAGAGGTTTGGTGTAGAAGGACTGCTCTGGAATCTGTCTGGGGATCTGATTGGTCCGCACAGGATGTTCAATGCCCTGAAATTGAACCAAAATTGCACACATATATAACTATAAAAAAAGAGTAACAGGGATAATTGGATTTTTTGACACCAGAAGTTTAAAAAAAAAAGGCTTTTGCGAAACAATTTGAAAGTAAAGAAAGCTTACACTCTTCTTAAAACCGAAGTATGCTCCGATAAAGGTGAGGGGCACTGAGATACAGAACCACAGAGCCAGGATGGCCACCAGAGTGCCAAAGGGCATGGCAGCTGATGAACCCTCGCCCCACAAAATCAGATTCATTACGAAAAAATCAGCAAACACCACTCTGAAAAAGCATGTAAATGTATTATTCACAACAAGCCATATTTAAGGTACACGTCAATGCACAAGATTTCAAAGTGCAAAATGGTCCAAATCTTCCATTAAAGGAACACTCCACTATTTTTGAAAATAGGCTAATTTTCCAACTCCCCTAGAGTTAAACAGTTGTTTTACCGTTTTCAAATCCATTCAGCCGATCTCCGGGTCTGGCGGTAGCACTTTTAGCTGTAGCTTAGCATAGATCATTGAATCTGATTAGACCGTTAGCATCTCGCTCAAAAATGACCAAAGAGTTTCTATATTTTTACTATTTAAAACTTGACTCTTCTGTAGTTACATCGTGTACTAAGACCGACGGAAAATAAAAAGTTGATATGGCTAGGAACTATACTCTGACGCAACGCTGAACTCGTACGTCATCAGCCCGGAACTGCTTCTGTTTACAACAGTGAGCGCAAGCTACATTCAAGTGATTATTACGTTTTGAATATGGATATTTTTCTTACAAAAACCCATTGATTCGCTACAGGAGGCCTTTGTTCACCAATCGGAGTCGTGTGAGACACTTTTTTTATGGATGGGCGCTTTTTATTTAACTTCTTTTGGACTGAAGCACTGCAACACCCGCTGACTGCAATGATAGAGCTTGGAATAGCCAGGACAATTTTTAATATAACTCCGACTGGATTCGTCTGAAAGAAGAAAGTCATATACACCTAGGATGCCTCTGGGGTGAGTAAAACACAGCCTAATTTTCATTTTTGGGTGAACTAACCCTTTAATGTACTGAAATTTCAATTCAAAGGAATGATGTATTTCTTCATTTACCCACCCTGGACAGAGAAATGCTGTCAACAGAACATTGGTCTTCCACTTCTCCCCACCGAAGGCTGGAATGAGAGAGAGAGACCAATTCACCTCACATTTCAACAAGGATACAAAAAAAAACATTAAACCACAAATAGAAAATGCAGTCAATGTAATACATCAATATATCAGAATCAGACTCTACAGTGAGATATTTAAAAAAATTATATTATTTGTAATGTGTTTTGTTTTTTATTACTGACTTCAAAGCAGTTGTTGGAATTCATTAAACTCATTAGCATTCTTTCAGTCACCCCCTCAAGATTCTAACAATTAAAAACGGTCACATTCTTCATTATTACATTTTTTTTGTCAAAAGAGAAGTCACAATTTCCTCTTCCATTGCACAAGGTCCTGTGGATAATATTAGATAAAAATGCATGCACACACACAAAGAGGATTTTTTAAAAAATTAACTCAAAGTACACCATCTATTTCACATTTAACATACTGTGTTTAACATACTATTTTATAAGATTTTTAGAGCACTAATGATAATCTCATTTAGGATTTGGGTTGCAATGTATGTCCTCTCTTCTGACTGATTCTGTGAGATGGTTGCACTATTGTGAGCCAAGTAATGAGAAGCATAGAAGCCATGATGCACTGAGATACTGCCTAGGATTTACCACAATCCTGTGCATCAAGACTGGTGGTTGATGGATGACAAAAAAAAAAGGCTGTTGTAACGATTGAAAGTAAACTCATAAATGTAAATTATGATTCAGTTTCTAATCAGAGAAGAAAAACAGAGAAGATCAAAGGGGACAATTACACTTCTGTCATACGAACAATGTTAAAACAGAGCTCAGCAGATGGATCTACAACTGATATCATAGTAAATAGAAGAAGAGTAAGCTCTCATTGTATTCTGCACGAGCTGTAGAACACAACTAAAGCAAAAAAGCAGCAGCCTGCCTGCTCGTGTAAAGGGCTCCTCTGACACTAATTAAATCTAACGAACTGCAGACAGCCCTAATGAAGGGAGGATAAGAGATCAAAGGTCAATCCTCTGCTGTGCACTTACATTTGTAGTAGCGGGCAGCCACATAACCAGCTGGAGTACCCAGGAGCACCCACAGCACCACTGCACACGTCATCAGAGCCCCACGATTAGCAGGTGACAGGAAACCCAAACAGGCAAAAACTACAGGGAGAAAACATGTTGTCAAGTTCAGGGTTACATGAGTTCAGAATCGAAAACTCAACAAAATCCTTCATATCATATTTTAGATGTAGCAAATGCAAAACTGTCCAGGTTCACACACTGATTCACCTATCAAAAATTAATGTAAGTAAAAATAGTAGTATTTTTGGTAACATTTACCATAAAATTAATGTCCAAAAATCTGACTATATTGGTCAAACTGCATTTTATAAGGATGTCTTGATTTTTCAATTCTCACCATTTCTCTCTCAACAACACCCACATGACATTGACATTTTTTTTATACACTGCTATTTTTAAATAGTTTTTTTATGCCTATTTATGTCTAATTTTCACTACTAGTTAAAAGTTGTGGGTTGGTAAGATTTTTTAAATGTTGTTGAAAGGTCTCTTTTATTTAACAAGGCTGCATCTAATTAATTAAAAATACAGTAAAAACAGTAACATTGTGAAATATTATTATAAGTTAAAACAACTCATTTCTATGTGCGTACAAGATACAAAGATGAATTTTAAGCATCATTACTCCAGTCTTCAGTGTCACATGATCCTTCAGAAACATTCTAATATGCTGATTTGCTGCTCAAGAAACTTTCCTTACTATCATCAATGTCGAAAACACTTGTGCTGCTTAATATTTTTGTGAAAATCAATTTTTCAGGATTATTTGATGAAAAAAAACTTGTTCTCTAAACTTGTTGCTTTTGATCAAATGAATGTTTCCTTGCTGAATAAAATACAACGTTCTTTAAAAATCTTTACAATTTCTGAGTCTGACCCCAAACTTTTGAATTGTAGTGTACATTTATTTGACATATTTGTCTTTTTTATGCTAAAGACAAATTCCAAAAGCAAACAAAGAAAACTATGTTTTGATCTGCTACTGGTCTTTTTCTATCAATCAGGGCTTGAATTTTCCTGTTTTGTTATATTGCTCAGCTGCCTATACACTTACAGAGAGTAACAAACGTCATGATGAAGATCTGAGTCCCAGACCCCAGGAACACAGACAACAGCATGCCTTTCCTGGGAGGCCTGAAGACGTCTCCGTGAACAAGCTTCCAGCCAAATTCCTCCTGGGCATCCTCCTGGAAAAGATGGAGTGGAAAAGCGAGGCTTTAACAATAGCAGGAGCTAACGGAACCCCGTTCAGGCGTGGGTTTGGGTCTACAGCCCAGTTACAGCTAACAGAGATCAAAGGAAAGACGCCGGCTGCTGATCAGACCAATGATACACTGTGTCACTCTCGGTCTGTCCTTAATGAGTATGATGTGTGAGGACGGGGGAGGGGCCACGGTGAAACACAGGAAAGAGAGAACACGTAAAAGCAACAGATGTGTGTATCACGCCGGAGCCTGTCTGACCTCTAACCCCGGATGGGAGGGACCAAATATTCGATATATAAAGTTTGTATTTAGGGTGACTCATATCAAGGGTGTTGTGTGCACTTGTCTCTCCTCATCAGTGTGACCCTCATTGTTGGCAGTAGACAATTCAGACCACAAACACAAGTGACATACAGTACATTAACACATATTCTATAAGTTACGCTCATTAGCTTACAAACCAAACACTGCTATACTTTTATACACACATACAAACATAAAAATGGTCTATTATGTGAAAGACAAAACTTGGCTGTACTAAACCATAAGTATGTGTTAAAATATAAGCTCACAAGAGAGGATTGATCACATACAGTATATCAGACAGTGACATGTGACAGTTAAGCAGAACTCACCACAGAGTCCATCTGGTTGTATCTGGCGATATCTTTATGGAGCGTTCGGAGCATAATCATAGCAACCATCCCCGAGAGGAAGAGTACGATGACCAAAGAGTTCATGATACTGGCGGCAGAAAACAGAACATCTTAGCTAAACATATTAGGACATATTCGCTAAAATACATCATGGGTTTATTAGGATATGGACCCTGGGCCAAATGACAATCTCAGTCCCTGCAATCCAACTTTTGTGATTATTAATCATCATCTTCATCAATATTATTATTATTATTATTATAAATAAGTCTTTTGTTTTATTATTTTAATGATAAAAATATATATTACTATATTAATTGTAATAAAACTATTGTACTGTAAATTTAAAATGAGTATTTAATATAACAACAACAATTATTGTTATTATTCAATGTACATTTATATTTAAATGTTAATAATTAAAACAATAAAGAAAAATTACTACAGCAATAATACTATTTACTTTTACGCTACTAGTACTGTATGAATATAATTAAAATAAAAAAAACAATAGAAAATGAGTATTTAATAAGAATAATAATAACAATAAATTAATTTAACAAAACAACAGGAATATTACTGATATTAATTAATATAAATAGTCTTTTTTTTTGTATTCGGCAGGAAACAACTGGGAGGTCTTAAAGCTTCTCATTTGTTGACAACAGATTTATAAACGTCTCATTACAAATTTGGGAAGATGGTTGGCATGCTGTGTTTTAGAATGCACATTCCAAGACACTGAACACACCGGGTCATGAGCTGCTCATGTGTAAATGAACAGAGTCATGCATAACTTTGCTACTATCAATGCTCAGTTATTGGCCAGCTGGTAACCATCACAGTTTCATACACACGCCAACTCAATTTTTTACTTGCATTTTTACTCGAGTGATTTTGGACCCCGTCTGAGGGTGTTCTGTAGACAGCCACAAGATGCCGCCGCTAGCTCATATAGTGTTGTTGGAAGCTATGGTATCCATTCATGGAATACATGGATTTTAAATATTTGTGGAAAAGATTTATTTATTTATTTTAATTTATGGACTTCACATGGGTCATACTTTAGTTTGCTGTAAAGCCCAAACCAAGGTGGGCTTTGCAAAGGATGCATGAATAGTGCTTCGCAAATGCATATGAGAACGCATGTCCACTTTGAGTGTGTCATTTGGGACAGGGCCATATGTGTGTAATATGTGCCCTCACCTAAACCACTGTTCTATTGTTTTTTTCAGCAGGGTAATGATACCCATACTGTGCTGCACATTATTGGCAATATTGAGCTGAAGCTTGACTTTGCAAATTTAAAATCGCAAATCAAATCGCAATCGCAATCGCAATATCTGTCAAAAAAATCGCAATTTGATATTTTCGCCCAAATCGCACAGCCCTACTTTACAGCAGGGGTCTACAATCTCTTACAGAATAAAAGAAGCCCTTGGTTGATAGAGGGACAGAGCACAGACACTTACATATTGTATCAAATTGATTCATGCATTGTAGGCTTGGTCTATAACAACATGCATATAAAGCGAAATGAACAATTACATAGTTTGTTATGATGCTTAGATTGCAAAGTCTTTCAAATGATAATTTTAAATGTAATGATCCATTTTATTTTTCATCCATCTAGTATGAGATGAACAGTGACACTTTTAGCTGAACTTAAGCTTTGGTTGAAGTTCATGTAACATTGTATTTTTGCATATTTCACAAAAATTTGTTATAAATTTATTAGACAATAATTGGAAAATCTCCTGCTTTACAGAAAACATGTGGCATGATACCAGTACGCCTCCTTGTGGAAAAACACTGAACAACACTTCTCTATTTAAAGGGGTCATATGATGCTTTTTTAAAGATCATTATTTTGTGTATTTGGTGTAACAGAATATGTTGACATGCTTTAATGTTCAAAAAACACATTATTTTTCAAATACTGTACATTATTGTAGGTCCTCTATGCCCCGCCTCTCTCAAACGCTTCGTTTTCTACAAAGTCCCTCCTTCCGACAAGAGCAGTCTGCTCTGATTGGCCAGCTGACCCAAGCACTCGTCGGAAATGTAACGCCACTTACCATAATCGCGAGCTTAAAGAGATGCAAATGATTTAAGTTTGTATGTATATAAACTACTAGGGGTGTGACGAGACACTTATCCCACGAGACGAGACACGAGACTGGGTTCATGACAACGAGACGAGACGAGATTTTTAGACTTTTTTAAAGAAATCCTCAATGATGAAATATATAGGGAAAATTTGTCTTTTATTCAACTGAAAAACAAAAACTGCAAAAAAGTAGGTGCATTTTGAAATCAACTTGTACTTTATGAAATTAAACATCTATTTTAATAAATTTTATGCAGTAATAAACAACGTAAACACTGCAAAATGTTTTGCCACAAACTCAACTGACAGGCAAGTAATTGCACAAAAATTATAAATCGTATAAATAAAAATGAATAATAAACAACATAAATATCCCTTTAAAGTGGAAGTGAAGCAGTCAGTCAAGTGTACATTATTTAGTAAACTGATTTCCACTTTAATAAAAAAAAAAATTATAAACACGATTAATGTATCCATTTAAAAGAATAAAGCAGTGGTTCCCAAACTGGGGGGCTGAAGGATATTTAGGGCCCTATGAAATCCGTTTTATTTTTTCCTAAATTCCATTTTATTTTTTTCCAAATTCCGTTTTTTTTCCATTAAAATTTTTCTGGATTCCGTTTTTTTTTTTTTTCGTTTTAATTTTTCTCGACTCTTTTTTAATAGTTAAATTAAATTGTATTAATTAAAAAGCATGTCTTTTTAATTAAAATCATGAAACTATACATTTTTACATCAATGTATTAAAAGTTTAACAAAAAATTACATGTTTAGGGCCCTATGAAATGTTTTATTTTTTCTCAATATATTATTTATATTTTTTATTGTTACCAAATTCTGTGTTTTAGCATGTCTAATTATTTGAATGCATAAAACAACTTGATTTATTAATTTTTTTCTTAAAGTAGCCGTATGAATTTTTTTCCCCTCAGAAATTCTGTGTTGTGTATTTACATTTTTCTGGTTATCAAATGAAGGCATAACACATTAATTTAATTTATCATTTATATTTTAATTATTGAAAATTAAGCAAACAAGATTTGTTGGCAAACAAAGGGGATTTACTATTAAAATTAAAACATGGAAGAAATGTTTTGTGAAACCGGACTTTTATTTTGACGGGTTGCCGTGAATACCTTTACAGTTCTGTGTATGAGATATGACGCTAGTTTTACTCAAATCAAACGTTAAAATGCTCATGAAGTGACTCAGTTCTGGAGATGTTGTTCATGTGTTTACGTCCTTATTTAGTGAGGCAGACGCTGAAATCACCGCGAGTGTCAGGCGCGCTTCAGTGTGTGTGTAGTAAATGAAACCGCGCGTCTGCGCCATTCATTAACAGAGACAGGCAGAACATGCAGGATTCATATTTAAATCGACTTTTGCGGCTTAATATTTACAGATACTAGTCCATATCG